GTCAAGCCAAACTCACAAAAGTTTCAGTAACCTGGGAGAAGAAGGATCTGAGCGGACTCGTTTACAAGTATCAGAATGCCGCACCGGTTCTTGGGGACCAGAACTCACAGTTCAAAGGGAGGACTCAGCTTTTCCCTGATGCTTTAGTCACAGGTAATGCCTCTCTGCTGCTGAGGGCTGTGAGAAGTACAGATGCGGGTGTGTACACCTGTGCTATCAGCTCCTCTACTGCAGGAGGAAAGGTCAACATTAACCTCAGAACTGCAGGTAGGATGACTCATCTTTCTAGTTTCACTATGTTTGCTTCGAAAATGAATCTATCTTGTCTTATCTAACATTGGAAAAACTTTACTCATTGCTGAGGGGTAACTAGTTACATGTAATTTAGTTACGTAATTTAATAACAAAATAAATGTGAGTGTAATCTATTACAGTTACTAATGAAAATGTTAATCCTTGCATTGGCGTTTACATCTGAATATTCTCTGTAAAAAGCTAGGCTGTATGTTGAATACTTATTTTGTTGCTTTGCATGTTTTTCATGTGCACCATGTCTTCCTTTGCTATTTCCAGGCACAGCTGTTCGGTAAAGTTTGATGCTGTGCTGATGCTTTTTATTGGTTCTCATGTTGCAATGATTTTGCAGCGCCGCCCATCTGCCATTGAAATTGCCTCTCAAGCTGCCTTTTGATAATGGTCAACAGTTGAAAACATTCATGTGAAATTTTGAAAAGTAATCAAAAAGTAATTATATGTACAAAGTTACATTACTTTGAAAAAGTAATTGAAATAGGTACACTACAATTAGACAGTGTTGGAAGAAGTATTCAGATCTTTAAGTAAAAGTAATAATATCACACTGAGAACTCCACTACAAGTAAAAGTCCTGCAATCGAAACCGTACTTAAGTAAAAGTATGTAAGAATTATCAGCAAAATGTACTTAAGGAGTACCAAAAGTAAAAGTACTCATCGTGACAGTCCCTGTCAGTGCTTTACTATTATGATGTTTTTGGATTAGTATTGCAGTGTCATAGTTAGCATAACTAAAATAAACACACAATTACAGTTACGAAACAAACACAACTTATACAAACACACATGAGGTATGTGGCAAACAAGCTTGAGGGAGGTTGAGAGGAAGGGCTTCATGAAGCAGTCCTTATTACTGTGGTGCTGAAGGAGTCTCCGACTGCAGATACTATGTAGGGTTGTGCTAATTTTGAACTACTTTATATCCTGGTGAGTAGCTTAAGCACGGAATTTCCTGGTAGGAAGATCGATTTTCGCGCAAAATGCAAATGAGAAATCCATGTCTGATCCTAGTATTTTGTCACCCTATGCATGCCACACACCTCAGCCAGAATCTCAAACCAACCATTTGTATCCACACCAAACACACATCAAACACCAAGCATCTAAATGAGCCTATATCACAACATAAATCGCTCTGTAAACACTGTACATGACTGCAGTTATTGCCGTCCAGATATCTCTCATTTCATCCTATACCGCAATCTGACCACTCTATAGAAAGCTCAGCGCCAGGTCTGATCAGCTGGGTAACTCATATCACTCAAATCACCAAACTGTGCACGTCAGACAAATGTAGTGGAGTGAAAAGTACAATACTACAAACTCTGAGCTGTAGTGGAGGAAAGTATAAAGTAGCATATAATGGAAATACTCAAGTAAAGTACAAATACCTCAGATTTGTACTTACATTCCACCACTGCAATTACAATTAACTTACAATTGGTAACCTATTACATTTCCAAAGTAACCCTCCCAACACTGACTTTACTTTAACCGAAAAAAACATTTATAAGCAGTAAACATTTGATAAATGGTTCATAACACACTATAATGAAGTTCTAAGCAGATATATGGACATTTATTTTGCATCTTTTGTTTTTATTAATGCAGTATTTGTTCAAATTTATACCCTCTCCAACGAAGATATTATTCTGTGTTTTACTATGGCGTCATTAATTATCTGTTTATATAGCCCAGCCTCCAATAATGGGTGCTCACAGTAGGAGCTGTAGACTCTCACTATACAATTTTTGGGGGGAGGTGGGGGGGTTGATATGCACAGTATGACAATGTGACTATACAATGAAGTTGGTCTTGGAAAATTCACATTGATGCACGGACTGGTCATTTTTGCTTACCATTTTTTATTCTCAGCCTTTTCAGCCCCCACATTTAACGTCTTAGATGGCAACCTGGTTGCAACGGCGAGCAGATGGTTCCCTAAACCACATGTGACGTGGTTGAAATATGATAACAAAGTCCTGAATGGAATCACAAACTTCACAGAAGACACTGCAGGGATGTTCAGTGTAGTCAGCAAGCTGCAGCCCGTCAACATCAGCGACACATACACCTGCAGGATTGAAAATAACCTGGTGACTGCCGTCTCTGAGGCAACTGTAACAGGTATTCTTGTATAACTTGTTATAAAATGTTTTTTACAAGGATATCTGTTGATCTCAAAATGGCACGAATTGGCATGATGATTACTGGCAAAAGCCAAACCAGGGTGTGCTGGAAAAACTTTGCTGATTTTATACATGAAGTTCAGTTTACCCATCATTAGGAGTACTGCTCAGCCTGTGAAAACAGTTGAATCATTTCTGAAGTCTGAGAATTTTCAGAGTTGTTACTCGTTTGTTATCTCAGATTGGGTCTTCAAATTTTTGACACAAAGCGTGACACCATGGGCATTTACTAGGTAGGGATGGTATGATGAAAGACACTGTTGAGTTGCATTATCAAAAGTCCCCGACTAAAAATCAGAATATCTCAGCCTCTGCTGCTATGGCTTCTTTTATTAATGTTTCTCTGACAAGTCACTCAATCTCATGGAAGTACAACACTGAATTGTTGGGGGGGGGGACTCATTTCTATCTTTGATTAATAAATATATTAATCATATGTAGAAAAAACATATATTAAATAAAATAAAGCAAAGCAAGTTGTAAAGAGATTTGACTCTACTTTCATATTTTCCAGGTGTTTCTGGTGTTTCGGAAAACACGTACTTCACCTACAGTGCTGCATCGTCTTTGCTGGCATCAACTTACCTGAGCATTATGACCACTGTCCTCTGCATCTATTATCTCACCTAATAACACACACACTCTTACGCTCTGCATTTTCTCAGTCCACATTTATAATGTCTTTTTACTTTTCTTGTAAGTGTCATGTTTTAATTTAACGCTCCATCTAGGTCATTAAATGTTTCAAAATTTCAGTTAGCTTGAGTTGTTTTTGTTTTTATTTGTCTTTCTGCTAAAACGAAGGATGAACCACCATCCCTGTGTAGAAACAGCAGAAAATAAAACAGTATATTAAATGTAAGCATATTATCTTATCAAATGAGTGACCTAACATACTGTTTTTTGTATTACTGATTTATCTAATAAATACAATTCATTTTAGTTGTTCTGAAATGGGTGCGTTTGTTTGGGATGGCAAAGTAGCATCCAAAGAAGGTTAAAGTCAAGGGCAACAGGACTTGGTTGAAGATAGTACTAGAAGACGTTTCTTCCCTCATCCCAGAGACTTCTGCAGAAGTCTTCAACCAAGTCCAGTTGCACTTGACTTTGAAGTTCTTTGGAGAACTATGACCTGGATGACTGGCTACTAATTAAAACTAACGTGGTAGAAAATAGATTATTTCTGCCATGGAGCAGCTATGTTGTAAACAAAGATCCAGTGAACTGTAGCCTGTTCAGTCACAACAAAAATGTGTCCATCCGTCCTCCTGTTGTTCTGTCCTGCCAGTAGATGGGGACAGTCAGAATCCCAGACTGGTATGAAAGAGTGCTGGGAAGTCTTTGGACCACCCCTCACAGTCCGTGAGAGGTTTCCTATTGGCCGGGTAGGGCGTGAGGTGTCGGATGTCCCATGGAGCAGTGAACTCAGCCAACTTCTCCCGAAGAAAAGTAGGGCTTTCCAGTGGGATTATAATCAGTAAAGGGACATTAAAACATCTATAGTTATCAGAGTGCGTAAACTGAGTTTCACATGAGTGCTTATTATGCAGAGCAAAGTTTCGAAAGAAGTTTTCCTTAAGTTCTGACAGGTTTGTGTAGCTCGGTGGTTTTCAGGGTGGTGTTCACTGGTTTGTTTTTGACACCAAAAGTCACCAAAAACAGACAGTATGTCGCAGTCTGAACAGAAAGAAAACACGGAGCAGCCAAAGTTAAGCTCTGAAAATGAACACAGCGGGTTCTTGGTGAACCCGAGAGCGGTTTGTAACGCGTGTAAACGCTTGTACCGGGACCCTAAAATCCTCCCTTGTCTGCACACCTTCTGCTCCGACTGTGTCGGCCGGCTGGAGCCGTTCTCTGTGTCTTCGCGCAGAGGCGAAGAAGCGGTGGAAGAGGACCGACCCGCCGTCACCGTCACGGTGCTTTGCCCCGACTGTGACTCCGAGGTGGACATCCCTCCTTCGGGACCGGAAGGGCTGAGCACCGACCACCTGGCGCTGGACGAAGTATTCCTGGAGACCCTGGCGACGGACGGCCCGCTGGGATGCGACCTGTGCGGTGAAGGAGGCGCCGAGAGCCGCTGCGAGGTCTGCTGCGTCAACCTGTGCGAGTTCTGCTGCCAGGCGCACAGGTAGGGTTTCTTCTTTCTGTTCCTTTTCTCCGGTCAAGCTCAAGTGGTTAATTAGTATTTCCATTTCATGTAACTTTACCAACTTTGCCTACTTCTACTTCTACTCCACTACATCTAATTATCAATATTTTTATTCCACTACATTGGTCTGAAAGCTCGAGTTACTTTTCAGACTATACCATGCCTGTCCAGTGAAACCTGTTTATCTCCAAATCTGGTTATTTTAAATTCGAGGTTTTCTGATAAACTAAAGGAAACTAAAGTGTTCCTTTGTGGGATGAGGAAATTATCCTTCTTCTTAAACTTAATAAACAATTTAAATTATGCTTGGATCAGATGGGTAATCCATCTTCACAAAGCAGAAAACAGGGCTGTTTATTTGCTTATTTGTTTTATTTTAGAGATAAGTAGGACAGAATTGCATACTTACATACTTTTGCTTAAGTAAGGTTTTGAATGCAGGCTTGTAGTGGAGTTTTTTCAGTGTTCTTTTACTTAGCCTAAGTAAATGATCTGAAAAACTTTTCCACCACTGTCAAGCTCACAGTAGTTTTACACTGTTATTGTCTGCTGTCTGGCTCAGGGGTAAGTTCTACTCTATTCTTTTTTGTGCTTTGTGCTCTGTTATTGTTTTCTATTCTATTTTTTGTTGTGTTTTGTTCAGTAGCAACTATATTCTCTACTCTTCCAGCCAATAGCAGGTAACGTGTGATCTCCAGCTATGTTTTAAACAGATATATATTCTGACATACAGACATGTACGTAAATCTGTATCTGTCCTCTCCCCTGTCTGCAGGCGGCAGAAGCGAACAGCATCTCACTCTGTTCAGTGTCTGGAGGAGCTGAAGTCTCGTGGTCGTCTCTGCCGCCCCGTCCTCTGCTCTCTCCACCCCGGCCAGGAGCTCCGGCTCTTCTGTCAGCCCTGCGACCTGCCCGTCTGCCTGGAGTGTGCCGCCACACTGCACCGCGACCACCGCTGCTGCCCCACCCGGGATGTTATCGATCGTCATGGAGACCGCATCCGAGAGCTGGTCACGGTGCGCCTGCGACCCCGACTGGAGCGTTTAAAGGACTCGCTGCAGAAGGTGCAGAAGAGTCTGTTATTACTTTTTTTATCCTATTGCGAATATATTTAGACTTAGTAAAGTATGTTGTGGCCGCTTGACACATTTCAGCCCTAACCCAGACTACATGTATTGTGGCACGTTCTAATCCCAACTTCAAGTGTCAAAACAACCTTAAGAAACTTACAACTATGTCCATGTTTTAACACATTTGTATGGGTTAAACAATGGCCTTTTTTCTTGTGACGTTCTGTAATTTCACATAACACAATAACTCCCAAACCACCTCCTTCTTAAAGATTTTGTTTTGAAGACACAAAATCTTTGTCATGACCTGTTGTAACATACATGATTTGACTTCAAATGGTCAGGTATCTTATTTTCCAACAAAATTCTTTCTTTCCACTCATTTCCAGGTGGAAGTAGCCCAGGAGACTTTGCAGGCACGGGTGGATGCAACAGCGAACGAGGTGAGGGCGTTTGCGCGAGCCTACGCCAGCGCTGTGGAATCCCACTGCCTCTCTCTGCTGCATTGCCTGGAGGACGTCCGTGTGCAACGCAGGTATGGCGCAATGCATGTAGAGTGGGCCAAGTTATGTTATCAGTTTTTGTTTGGGGAATGAATGAAAGGTAAGATTTTTAGAGGTAAGCAGGGACGGGTGTTAAGCAAGTCCAAATAAATGCAAGAAGTTAAACTAGGACAAAAAAAGTAGGACGACAGAGTTCTTCCTGAAGCTTCCTTCTCACAGTCTCAGATCTGAGAAAAAGTTGGAGTTGGAGATTGAGTTTTAATTGGGTAGTTTTTACTGATTCGGATTCTGGTTGCTCATCAATTCTAGGATTATTTTACAATAGCTAGAAAAAAGCATACATTTCTTCTTCAGCAGCAAGAAAGTCACAAAAGTTGTAGAACAGTTGTGTTGAAGTCCAACACATTATTGCACAATTTGCTGCTCCTTCATTAATATCTCCAGCCACGTATTGTATCAGTAGTCAGTGGTTGGTTCAGAAAGTCAAATCTTAGACTTGCTACACAAAAAATAGGCTGCTCCTTTCTGGCTAGTGTGTGGGGCTCCATTATGCTGGGTAAAAAGCTGAGCGCTAGAGGTCAGCTGTCAGCATCTTTGATATTAATGTTGTTATTTTGTTGTCTTGCTCTGTAATATATTGTCTACACACTTGTTTTAACAGCAGAAGCACTGAGTCTAAAGCTTCCTGCCAACTATAGTTCCTGCAGCTTTCAGTGCATCTAAGGGTCTTCATCAGCTGATAGAGTCCATGCCAACTAAGAGAACTCCATCTGCTGATGGAGAACACAAGATGTGATTTATTATACTATTATTATTACTATTATTTATGAGGTAAAAACACATGAACTTTCATACTAAATTTAGAAATTAGTTAAAGAAGTTATGCTGAAAGCTGCATTGCCCAGACACTATGAGCATAGCTATTGCAGAACATTACTGAAAAACTAATAATTCAGTCAAGGAATGAATGGGTTTTCGAAAGTAATGCCATTTTGAGAAGGAAGATTGTGTAGGGAGCATTTTAGAAATTGTGTGAAAGTGCTTATTTATTGCCACACACTGAGTGGTGTGAGAGGTACAGCACTGTGCAAAACTGCAACCTAAAACCTTTGCACTGCACTGTCTGTGTTGAGACAATGACCACACCGCCTGCTCTGAGTTTGTTAATTCAAGGAACACTGGGCGTACTGTATTTGCACAGAAAAATATGTGTTTCACTTTAATAAATATAAACAGGCCATCATGGTTTCCCAACAGGAACCAGCTTCACCTGCAGAGGGCACAGCTGCAGCAGGCTCTGTTGGACATTGGAGGCGGAGTGGAGTTTGCAGAGAGACTGCTGAGCTGCGGGTCAGACGCTGAGATCCTCAGCGCCAAAGGAGTGACCCTGAGAAGACTGACCAGCCTGGCAGAGAGCAGCTATGACCCCCACCCGGCAACTGCCCCCCCAGACGACGGCAGCAGCATCAGCTTCATGCCCAGGGAGCCAGCGGGGGATTTGGAGGGCTACCCGGTGGTCGGGGTTATTAACTCTAAGACAGTGGACCTCAGCAAGTGCACCATCGAAGGGGAAGGTAAACACTCCAAAGACCTCTCCTCTTCTTTTAAGAACAGGTTGTTATGTTAGGATTTTCTTATTGTGAATGAATCTGAATTGATCCTACAAAGTTTAGTCTGTGTAGCCAAATCATGTTATTGCTTATTGCTCAGTTGTCCAAACGCTATTATAAAAAAAATGAATGAGCCAAAGTAACTAAAGTCTTTTTTTTTAATTATTATTATTACCATGAACAAGTCGATCCCACATACGCAATACAGGTGCTGTGAATATTCACTCAACACAACGTGTGTGAATTTGCATCTGAAAATTGTTCCAACAAATTCTTTATTTGTTAAAAACTGCAGTGCCTCGCTGTTTTAGAACTGACTTTTTAAAACATGAAAACGGTTTTATAGATGTGGACCAATTGGCTTGGGGCTGAGAACCACAGAGCTTTGACTAGAGTAGACATGTTGTTGGGTTTGAAGATTTCATGGGATGTGTCGATGGTAAGAAAAATATAGAATATCCCCAGTCTTGTCTGGTCCCAGTGGAGACTGGAGTAGTAAAAAGAGTATTGTTACCTTCCTGGGTGCTTTGGTTCAAAGAGAGAAATTCCTCTGGGACTGAAGGAATGTTGAGGTGATTCAACAGGCCTGAAGGAAGTGCACTGAGGGGATATTTACACCCAAACATAACATACTCACAGACACACACACCGTAAAAGAGAGAAGGGAAGGAAAAACTTACAAGTCACATTGCAAGTGGACGTGTATTTCAACCTCCAGGGTTTCATAATGGAAGAATAGAATGACTTTTTGTGATGCCACTCCTGCTATATGCAGCCCCCCCCCCCAAAAAAAAAAATACTGTAAGAGTTATTATACAGAAGTAAATATGTACCAAGCTTCTCCTTTCTCTCTGACTGTCTGTGTGCATCTGATTTATCACTTAAGAAAGGGGAATAAGTAATAGTAGTCACAATGTTCATTTAAATAGCAAAAGCAAATTTAAAGTGTGCATTGCAGATATAAAGACAGAATACAATGACTTATATAAAGTTCTGAAATACATAATAAGTTATTAGAAAGGTAATCAACAACGATTTTGATGATTGATTCATCTTTTTAGATATTTTTCAAGCAAAATTACTAAACATTTGCTAGTTCCAGCTTCTCAAAGGTGTGGATCTACTGCTTGACTCTTGTTTTAAATTTATTCATTTAGCTGACGCTTTTATCCAAAGCAACTTACAGTTGCTACGTATATCAGAGGTCACATGCCTCTGGAGCAACTAGGGGTTAAGTGTCCTGCTCAGGAACACATTGGTGAATAGAATGGATGTAAAGGTGGATGTATCAAAGTCGAAGGATTGATCCCAGGTCTCTCACACCAAAGGTAAGTTTCTTATCCACTGCTCCATCACCACCCCATATATAAAGTTTACTTATATCGCTGTCGGTTGGACAAAACAGGCAATTTGAAGCCATAACATTGGGCTGTAGGAGAGGGTCATGATGGGCATTTTATAGACTGAACAATAACTTGATTATTTAAAAAAAAGAATCATTCACAGATTAATTGGTAATGAAAGTTGCAGTCCTAAAATATCACTCACAAGAGCACATAGAAATATAGTAATATTGTCACATGCACATGGCATCCTTTGTTGTGCCTCCACAAATCACACACTTCCAACACACACACACACACACACACACACACACACACACACACACAGCCAGCAGAGATTTGCAGCAGCTTGTCTCCATGAATGGCTTGGCTTTAGGCAGTGTTTGACTGTGTGGGAAATGGAAAACCTCAGCAAATACAGACTTCTGTGCGGAGTTCTCTAGGTGTCAAAGAGCAAGTGTATTGTTGTAATGCTTGCCCAAAGGTCAGTCTGTGTTTTGTGTGAAGTGTTTGTTTGGGTGCTTGCTTGTGCCTGTTTTAGATTGTGTGCCATGTAAAGCACTTTGCCAAGCGGTGACCTCACCATTTATCTTTCTTTTTATATTGACTTTTTGATACATGTGGTTAAGGCTTCTCCTTTTTTATGTAGGGTTGTGCTGTAGATATCCACAGTATCACTCCATCAGCTAAAGCAGCCTTTTCTCTCTGTAAGTTGTTTGTCCCTCTCAAGTTAACTTTCTTTTTCCTTACGCGGAGTCACTCTTTCATTTCAGGGGGGGCAGATAAAAGGATAAAGACTTTTGTTGACTGTTAGAAAGCAGAAATCACAGAGCCTTACTGATGATTATCCCCACTCTGTCTGATAAGACGGGTTGAAGTGTTGGATTTGGACCACAAGGCTGTACAGCACAGGTGTAATGTGGGCCAGAACAGCTGCGTCTGTAATAGTGACAGCTGCTGGGCTTAGCAAGTGCGCACACACAAATTCACAGATAATTCACACACATTAGTAGCAGCAGTGATAGCAGTAATAGAACTAGTGGTCCAAATGATAGTAATTGTAGTTGCAGCACAAGGAGATTTTTTGCAGTGGCAGAGGTAGTAATTACTGCACCAATCCTGTAATTGAGTAAAAATAGCAAGAATGTAAAGGAAAGAAAACTTTTATATAACAAGAGAAATGGGTGCGCAGATAGGAGCTAATTGCAGATAACAGCTGATGAAAGAGACGGAAGATGGATCCTTCCATAATGTACTTTTGTTCAAAGAACTGCTTAAAAAGTTTACTTTTAAACTGTATTATACCATGTTATCTTGGTGAGGTCTTATTACATATATCAGCCGATATATTGGAATATTAAATTTTAAAATCCTGAAATATCAAAATCGGCATCCGTCTTAAAAACCCTCGGGCTCTAATCATGGTTGTTGTTGTTATTAACGTTGTTTTGTCTTATTCTTATTCTTATTTTCATCCATTTTAAACCTGTGCTGTATAAAACTGGTTTAGTATTATAAAGTTTATTATGACAGTAGTGGTGTGATAACAGTAAGAGTAATATTTGTCACAATAACAGACAGAGTTGAAGTAGTTTAATTTGCAACAACTCCAACAGCATCCAAACAAATCCCCCTGCAGCTACTGGAAAACACTGAATAATAACAGATGAATACACAGTGGAGGATCATTAGTTATCGAGCGGCAAATAGAGTCTGACAGGAAAATGCAAAGTAACATTAATCATTGATATGAACACAAATGATGTTGGCTTTAACACAACAACAAGTCCACAACAGGTGATGAATATCTTCAGCGAATTTGTCTCCAGAGCAGAACAAGTTAATGAAACACTAAATAATGATGTGAGGTTTTTGGAAAACTCTGGTCAGCAGCCCTGAAGCCCGGCTGCGCCTGGAGTCACACTTAAACCGGCTGCAACCGCCATATGTTTTGGGGGAGAAAGTGGCTTACGTAAGCACTCGGGAGGGGGTTGTTTAGTGGGTGAGTTGGTGTGTGTGTGTCTGTGTGACTTAGTCTTTAGGGGGGGAAAAGACAAATGTCGTAAGTGCCTCAGTGCGTCTGAATGATGAAGTGCCTCTCTTAATGTGATGTGCCCGCGCAAGATCACTTGTAAAACTTTGAGAGACAAGTCCTTCTGTCTTTTCTTAGTTTGTGTGTGGCTGTCTTTCTGCCTCTCGTTCGTGTACTTGTAAGAGAGAGTCTTTGTGTGTTTCTGCCTTCAGATGTGTCAGTTGCTTGTGTTAAAGAGACCTTTCTGCTTTTCTTTTAAGTTGTTTTCTGTGTGTGTGTGTGTGTGTGTGTGTGTGTGTGTGTGTGTATGTGTCACTCTTTGTCCATCCATGCACACAAATTGTGCACTGACGCATGTACTGTATTTGTGTGTTTGTCGGCGCATCATTATGGCCTCTTTAGGTCTACAGAGGGGCAGGGATGGGCAGCAGGGCCACTTCACCCTGGTGTGCCGGGACTCAGCTGGGGAGCAGATGACACGAGGTGGAGAGCAAGTCTTGGTCAGCGTCGTTCACAAGGAGAAGAAAAACTGGTGAGTGTCACAGAGTTTGAGTATGTCAACATTTTAACTTCCTAGGAAGCAGGAACACTCGACAGGCTCGAGGAAATTCAACCGGACACCTCAGGATTGAGCCTCTAGGTAGCCAGTCTCCCTGCTGCTGACGTGTCCTGGAGCAAGGCACTGATGGCTTTGTTTCTGCTGGCACCTTTTGCAATGGTCAAGTGGCATTTTCATGGGGCACAGGAAGGTTTTAGCCTCTCATTAAGGGGAATGTCATGGAGAAACTGCAGTTTTGGTGTTGAGATTGATCAGGTTATTCACAGTCTGCCATGCAGCTGCTCAGAGCAGGTCAACAGAGCACTCTGCACCTGTGCATTAGTGCTGTTTTTGTCACTTACAGACCTCCATAATGACACCAGCAACTTTTAGTCATGTTATGCATATATATATATACCAGGTCTCACACTCATTTATGATTAATATCTGATTCCTACCATCAGCCCTTATCCACAACAGCTTGCATGTATGAATGCCTGCCTTTTTAAATGTATTAACTCGTGACTGCCATGTGTGTTCCATATAAAGTCTGTAAGTTAAGTGAAATTGCTGTGAATTATCAAACTGCAGCAACTCACACCAGATCTCCTGTGGTTACCTTAATAAGATCTAGTGCTACCAGCACAAGGCTGTTGCTGAATAACCATACAAACCTGTGTTATCTTGCGCAAATCACACTTGGCTACATCTTAGTAATCAACACAGCCTCCTAGTTAATGCAGTGTGAAAGTGATCAGCAGTGGAAGACGGTGACAATGTGATGCATGAAATAGGTCGACCTGTGGGTTATCAACTCTGTGATGTGGTGGAGAGGAATCACAATTGGTCAGACAGCTGGGTTGATTACGTTTCAAAACTTGAACTGTTGTGCAGAGATAAAGATCAAAATGTTTCTTCTTCCGGTGAAATTGTGTTTTGATCTGTCTGAGAAGAATTTGGCTTAAGCTTGGATATTAGTGATGATTTAAATACAAACAAGAAACAAATGTTGCAAGTTGAAGAATCGTTTTTTGTCAAGCTATGAATTGTGACAAAGTAATTTCAATCAATACTCTTAAAATGAATTTCTGTATAACAGAGCTGTTTATCAGTTGCATTTTCTCAGTGATATTCTACAGTGTTAACAAGATTGTTTTCTTCTTTTCCTTCAGCACAGTGGAGGCGACAGTGGTTGATAACAATGATGGATCCTACAGCATTTCGTACACACCTGAAGAGCCAGGTGCCTACTCAGTGTGGGTTTGTGTCAAAGCCCAACATGTCAAGGTACGAAGCCAACCCAAGTAGTTTGTCCCAAAAGAATCAGGGAATTTATTTTTACCAATCAAAACAATTGCTTATTAATTATTTTTTGCCGCTGAGAATGGCACATTAAAACCTGCTGGACTGAGCTGTGGTGTTGCCAGCAGCTCACAGCTTACCGCCGCAGGGCTGTTAACATCACCCTGACAAAGTCAATCAATGTGGGCAAAATTCTCTTCAGGCAAAAACATATTAAATGGCAGCTCTCTGATGTTAAGTGTACCTACTGGGATGTTTGAAAAGTAAAAGACCGTTTGACATCCTGAGGTATAGGGATACGTCACTTTTCTGTTTTTATGTGATGCTGGCTCGTGTCGACCCAGACAACACCGGCTGGCTGACTCTTTCCCCTCTCGTCCTGCAGGGTTCTCCGTTTATTCTAGATGTGAAGAGAAAGTTGAGGCGTCACCGTGGGACGTTTCACTGCTGCTCCTTCTGCTCCAGTGGAGGAGCCAAGGAGGCTCGCTGTGGCTGCCCAGGAACCATGCCAGGTACACAGAAGCTATCTTTAAAATGTCTGCAAATGGTACACTTTTTTTTAAGCAGGACATGGAGAGGGAACAGATAGAGGAACAACAACATTATTAGACACCACTGTCATCTGTGGTTTGAGCACTTCTGTTTTTGAGGGAAACCGGTTTTGTTATCATGTAATACTCTCCACATGTGAAGTCAAATTAGAATCAGAAATGCTTATTAGTACAGTTTTTTTTTGTTTTTTATCAATCATGTAGCCACAGGACATGTGTTTTCAGAAATGAGGCACAATGTGCTCAATTACAAATATTTACTGTTGCTAGCGAAAACATAATTACTCTCTCCATCTAAAACTCAGCATGTGCACAAAAAAAGAAAAGAAGAATGTATTAGAAAATGGCAGATTGTTGATATACAACACTGTAAAAGTGTTTGAAGGAAATATGTTCCTTCAGGTGTGTTGAAGTAATTCTGTTCACATCTGCTTTCAATTTGCTTTCTGTCCACCTCTTTGGATAGTCTCACAACATTAATTAGAGAAAGTGTCGCATGTGTAACTGTGCAATCCTGTGTAGTGGATCTGAAGTAGTACATTGCTGCGTTAATATATTGAGTACTCTTACAAAATATGAGCTCTGTGTCTCAGAGAGTTGAGGATATCAAGATTTCAAGTCTTTGTTTCATTGTGTAAAACTTATCTCGCTTACTGGCACCCGTTCTTTCTTATTGCATTAACATTCTGACTGCAGTTACAACGTGAAACAAGAGTCATATGGCTCTGGCTCTATTGAACAACTCTGATTAAAACGAGTAAAGGTTAATCTCATTAACACTCTCCTACCGTGGAAGGACTTACAAACCCCAGACTTGGTCCTGATCTCATGTCTGTCTGTCTGTCTGTCTGACTGCAGGAGGATTCAAAGGTTGCGGTCACAGTCATAAAGGACACCCTGGGAAGCCGCACTGGTCTTGTTGTGGCAGCACCGTGGAGCGGTCCGAGTGTTTGCCTCAGAGCGTGTTGGATGCAGTTTCCCCCCGCGGCCACCTGCGAACTGTGGAGCTCTGAGGCGACGCAGAGAGACCTGTCAAGATGATGCAAGTTAATGAAAGATGGCAGCAACCAAAAGGTTAGAGCGGCGGGGTAGTAGGGTTGTTGGTGTAATTCTTGAGCAGACTTGAAAAGGTCAGACAAAGAAAGAGAAGCTCTAAAGCCACGGTGACTGAGGCAGGACATTAAAGTCGAGGTTTCTTGAGAGTGCTCACCTCTGCCAGACATTCTGCTAACTGTCATTGTGAAACAGTCGCCAGTTTACCATCAGAGACCAACATATAAGACAAAGACCTGAGATAAAGGCTGTGAATCTATGTGGTAAAGTGCCTTTTGTGTCTACGCTCTGCCTACACATGACAAGAAGACAGAACAGAAAGAAAATTAAATGCTCCAATCACAACAGCATGCTTCTCCTCTTAAATCAAATGTGTTAGAAGCCTTGCTGAAGGGCGCCTCAGAGAAGAGATAGTTTTGCTTCTTCATTGCTTCACTTTTCTTTGACCAGCCACAGTCTAAGTCTGATTTATTTATTTTTTAACCTTGAAGCTGCTGTTGATTTCAAAGGTGCTGGAATGTATTGTTACCGTCGATGTAACACTCTTTCATTTTTTCTGAGAATCATCAGACTGTTGAAGTGCTGTATCCTTCAGTTAAGGAAAACACATTTTCAAACAAAGTGCCTCAAAATAAATTGTGATGCTGAAAGAACAATAATTCCTATTAATCCGCACAGTACAGAATAAGAGCTGGGACGCTGATAATCCATTTACATTCTCATGAATTCTGAATTTTATTTTAGATGGTAAAGTACAGAGTTTGCAGTAATCAAGGAAGTAATTACAGAGGCAAACAGATAAATCAGCAGGCAGATACAATCAGCTGATATTTAGCTAATTGCTGATACCTTGTATTGGCATATATATCAGCCAATAAGTAATAATAAATTTCAGAACTGAAATTCTCTTTAATATCCAAATTTAAACAAACCTTATGAAAATATTTGTTTTCAAGAAATAACCATAATGCTACAGTTAAAAACAAGTACTGTGCTAAAGAGAGAAGTTATTTATTTGTATACATACTCAAAATCAAAATTAGGGGTTGATACAACCATAACACTGTGAAAACTCTATTATTTCTTTATGTTCACTTAATTACTTTTTTGGAACAATATTTCCCTCTGAATTATTTTCATTAGTAAAAAAAAAACGGGTAATTATTAACAACAGGTACTTTCTGGTGCATTTAATAATGACCAAATACTGGATAGTTACGCACACAAAATTGCAATATTCTAACAAATAGATAACCTAATATAATCCTATTTCAGACCACAGGAAGATACATTTGGTTACAAAATAAATAATCAGTGAATACCTAGTTAATACAACTCAATGATTATATTCTATTGATGAGTTGATGCCGATATTGTGGTGCGATATACAGTTTACAAAGGTTTGGAAATATGAATTTCAGTGCCCTGTTTATGAAATACGGTTTCCATGGTCATGTTATCCTATATACAGACGCACTGAGCTGGAGTACACTGTTCCTGTAAATTCACCCAGGATTATTCTGTCATTATTCATTATATAAAACATATTCTTGTTTTCTGAATAGCTTTTGTCTTTGTTTTGTTTTTTGCTCTGTTCTTTCTGTATCAAATCTCAAGTGCTTATTATTGTTTTTACTGAGGAGAAAGTCCATCAAATCTGCTCAGAATTGCATTTTTCCTTCCGGTTCATTAGAAAGGAAACACTGTGACCCAGAAGGAGTAGTCAGCCTTCTCTTAGAATACAAATGTGTTCATCTCCAGAGGCTGTGCATTAGGGTTACATGACTGACATGAAACCACAAACGTAATACTCATAATGAGCCACTTAATGCATTTGTGTATTTTCTGTCTTCTGAACATTGTGTACAAATAGACATGTTTTTTGTATTTTACTTAGAATCTGATGATTGCAAAGCTGCATAGTAAAATAGATGTATGCAAATACTTGACATGAGGACTAATCGTTTTGATTTGTGGGCCAAGGTCTTCACAATGACAGGAAACTTCCCTAACACTGTGAGTGTGTTGCTGCTGTTCACATTGTGAAATGTTTCCATTTCATCTAAGTATCACAACTTTTTACTAAAACATTTAAGCCAGTACAATCAAAATAAACATACTTGTTTCTCAGTTTGCATACTCTGCCTCTTACTTGGATGGAACTGTTGCTCATTTGTATTGACAAAAAACGGTGCCTGACAAACAAACAACATTGACAAAAGTCACACTCACTGTTGTATGTGGGCACACACTCAGTAAAATAATAGAAAGGTAGCCATCTCTTGATATCCTACCACAACGCAACAACATGAGAACAAAACAAATCTATTTATCATACTGTCAGTGTCTCATTAGAAAAACAACATTTAGTTAATTTTCTTTACCCCATCTGAATAACACTCGTCCTGTTGGAAGCATCAGTATAAAATTCGTAAAGGAAAATACCGAGCCCTGGCATCTGAGAGAGAGAAGCACACATCAAGCCATAAACCTGCCTCTTAATGTAAATTCATGCATTTTATCTTTTTATGTTGAAGCCAATTATTAATCTAAAGTACTGCATGTAAGTAATTTTCCTCCAGCCATTAGAACCCATTTTTATGAATACATTAGAATAAACTTAAGAGAGATTTTAGTGAGTAAATCAAACTAAATGTGGGGCAGACAAAAATAGGATTTTGAAAAATGAGAACAGGTTTCCTCAGGAAAAACTTCACCCTGAAACGAGGAAGCTTGCAGCACTAACTCAAATATTCTAATTTATCGTGATTTGCAAAAATCATGATAGAGAACTTTATTCATGCTCTCAGTGACTGCATATTTAACACTTCAAAGAAACTTTAGTTCATTGAGCTTGACAGTCCCTCTCCAAACCACCAGGTGGCAGGAGAGAGCTACTTTTCCCCCCCTGCCTGCTCTTCCAGACCTAACGATCATGTCCTTCTGCCTGCAACAAGCATTGTGCGCTTGTTCCTACAAATCATTCATAATCAGCGTTCTCAAAAGCTGTCCTTACTAGAGCCATTCTGAGCTAAGAGGCTCCTGATGAATATTGCATTATCATGAAAAATGTCTTAAGCGGTTTAAGATTGACTCTCTTAATATGAATGTTTGATGAATGGGGACCTGTTCCACAAAACCCATCACAGAGGAAGTCACATCAGCAATGTCAGCAGTGACACTGCTTAATCAAACACAGTACATTGTTCACTTACAGCAAATTGGAAAGAAGTGATTAACGGGTGAGGACCATTCAAATGGCAGGGGTTACATCTGAAAATTGGAGGTCACTGCAGGCAAAGACACACACACACACACACACACACTCTTCCATTAGGTAAGGGCAGGTTTGGGTTAAATATGATGGAGTGGTTTAAAACCGGTCTTTTTATTGATTTCTCACTTCCTTCACTCTCTTCCTTCTTTCAGTGCAGTCAATCCAGGAGGAACTAAGCCTGCTCACACACACACACACACACCCCAAATTGAACAATGACAGTGAACTGTAAATGGCAGGATGCTCACTGTGTCTGTGAACCCCAGAGAGAAGGACTCATGCCAGGACTCATAAACCTACTTCACCCGCCACTGAGCCCTTAACTAATGTACCTTGTAATTGGGAGAACCAACGATGATGATACAATATTGTCTCACAGGCGAGAGACATCTTTTCTTGTGTTTAATCTTTTACATTTGGTGCTTTTTACATTTTCATGGTTTGCCTGTTCCGCTTATCCAGAGAGAGTTATAGAAAGCACAGCTGCAGGAGAGCCTAATTCTGGCTTTCATCATCAACGGGCAGCCAAAAGGAAAGAGTGCGAAGATACAAACCGTGTCAACATCTAATAATAATCATAATAAAACATCATAATGAAACACACTTGAATTTATCACATGTAACACCATTTCACATGACAGAAAATTACATAGAAGCACATTGGTTTTGTTAGTGTGTGTGTGTGTGTGTGTGTGTGTGTGTGTGTGTGTGTGTGTCACATAATATGGGAACGTATTTAAACATAGAATAAAAATATAGAATATATAAATTACAGAATATAGACACATGTTTTATCATTTGCAAAACAGCATTTCACAAGATTTTTTATTTATCATTTATGCTTTTATTTTTGTCTTATATCTCTTGAAAACTACTCAAACAAGCAAGCAATGTTATTTATATAGGACTTTTCATAATTCAAGGATACAACATGTACAAACAACCATATATTAAGCACAAACACCTTTAATGTTTTAACCTTGGAACATCCCGAAGACCCGAGGCTCCACAGCAGCTGTTTATGGGGTTTATGTTTACCTTTTGATGCTGCAGACTTCTGGGCCAGTCTGAGTGGAGGTACTGAAGATTTGATGAGGCGGGTGAATGAGATGTTATAGAAAGGAGAGGTGCGATGTGATGAGCATGGATTACTTTCATGTAAGAATAAAGGAATTGAGGTGTTCAGATTCATGGAAAGTGATGAGGGTTTAGATTTTTTAGTTGAAGTACACATGACAAAATCTGAGAAATGGGTCAGGTGTGTCTTTAATTTGTTGATGATGTCACTGATTGCAGATTGAAACCAGGTGGTGGATGTTTATTTAACACTAGCAGAAGAATTTGATTTGATTTCAACTTTTCTTGGTCAAAATGTCAAAATGGTCGTCCTCTCGTTGTAAAATCTTAACTTTCAAACTGTGACAACGACACAGTGCATATAAAAAAAGAAGCATAGAAAGAGAAATAAACCCTGTTGCTGACAGAGATGCAGGTAACCGACTACAGCATCATGTCACCTCGAATCCAGTTTTGTGACAGCACCTGACATCCTTCTCTGAGAGACACTTTATCTCTGCGCTGCAAGTGAGCAACACTAGCTTTTATCATTTTCAAGATGAGACACATCCACTCTGTACATTGAGGGTCACCTGAAATGCACTCTGGGAAAGGCCACTCTAAGAATATGAACATGCTGTCACAGAACTCCCTGTTGGATAAGCCCTTTGTGTTGAGTTGTGAATAATTCATCTTGATTTGTTAACATTAGCGCGGCGTCAATAATTCATAGGCATTACAGATTGTCTTGTGTTCTTGTAACTTCTTTCCAGAGCAAGTAATGTAAAAAAAAAAAATTAAGCAAACCCCATCAGCACCCTGGTCACCAAAAGCAATGACGGCAATGAAGGCCATTCTATCACTACTGGCCTTAATACTTCAGACACAGAAATGCTTATAAAATCAGAAAACCACAAAGAAAACCACATCTTCCCTCAGAATAAACCTTGCATTATGCGTGAACATGCATGGGTGTGTGATCAACAGAGGCTGAGAGAGTGCGGGTCATTCAGGTTGGACACTGTGTAACCTGATTAAAGACAAAGAGGTTAGGCCACAGTCACGACAGTAATATACTTACTGGGCTCTAAATGGTGCCTAACCAGCTCCCACTGGAAAGTAGCGGAGTTGGTAAAAGCCAATAAAGCTTGTTTGTTTGGAGCTACTGCTGTCTGAGTTCATGGACACACTGCTGATGGAGAAATGTAAGGACCTTGGTCTTCAAATTGGACGTCCACCATCTTAGTAAGTAAGTGCATTGCTACGTATAGCTACTGAACTAATAGTGCAATCCAATGAATACAGCCTCAGAAATAACCTTCACCTTGGTCCTGACTTTAAATTCTGATTGTGACATGTCTGGTGGACACATGAATGTTGTGAAAGCCTCACCTGGTGCACATAAAAAAAGAAACTTTTTATTCCTGCACCATAAAAAATAAACTACACGTCAAGATGCTGTTCTGAGCTTTTATGTGTATGCTAGTTATTTTTATTTGTGGTTGTCTGTTTTATGCTCTTGTTTACTTGTTAACACTTCAATGATACAAATGATATACTATAAGTAAGCAAGCTTTATTTTAACAGCAACTTTCAAAGCCATTTACAAAGTACATGAAAATAAAATACCATAAAATACAACAACATAATCATCGGGAATGGCCAAACATAAAGAGTTAAAACAAAATAAACCATGAACAATATAAAGCCATTGAAGTAATAAGTTATGAAAATGCCAGTCAGTACAAATGGTTTTTAAAAAGCTTGTGGCACTGAGTCAGCCCGAGTGGCACTGACCTAGTTTCACAGTATTGTAGCTAACAGTGAACATCCGCCTTTGTCCTGAGCCATGGAACTTTTAACAGCATTTGAGGTGTCTCGGTACAGAATAAAAGGTTGTTTAGACAGACTGTTCACACAAAACAGTGCATCTGTAGCCGGTTGCAGCTTTTTGTCTGAAGATGCAATCTTGGATCATTTTGACAATTTAATGTTATGTCCGTTTACTGTAAGAGAACCTTTCCCCCACATTGATGTGAAAGTATGATTCAAGTGTTAATGAGCCACGGACTAGTCTCTGCAGCAATAATTATGGAGAGTCTAAAAAATAATGTGAATTTAAATATTCCATTGAATGCAAATGAAACTCACTGACTAAGAAACTCCAAATAATGCAAGTAAACACAGAAAGCGACTCAGTCAAAGGAAATGAAGTGTTATTTGTCATTTGACCTTTGCCAGCCCATAAAGCCATACATCATGATAACCTTATCTCTATCCGGATCCTCTGTATTTTAAAGATATTGAATGATGATATTATGGGTGAGGATGTGTTTTCAAATGGATATGTATCGTTTTCCAATACAGCCCTAGTGCAACAGAAATGATTGATCACACCCTGTCGAGCAGCAGAACAGGATGCAGAGTCGGAAAACAACAACGCCACTGAACTAGTTTAATGGGATTGAATAACACAAATAATAGTGCAGACATCCAACGATTTAGACTGGTCAATATACTTTAGATCAAATACAGATAAATACAAACAGAAAAATGAGAATGTTTGTGTTAATAAATCATAGAAAAGGATTTATATATATTGTAGATATGTTGCACTATTTTCCTAATATGGCAAATGAATTACATGAGCAGTTGTTGTAACCAAGAATCATGATTTGCGTCTTTACGATTATCTTTGACACAGAGAAAAGAGGGAAATAATACTCTAATATACAACACTCAAAAGAAAGTATTTTCCTGTCTATTTATCTTATATGTTCCTGTCTTGAACTGGATGTTGTCCT